CCTGGTTCTCCTAGTCAAAATCCCCACAAGACAGACTTAACAGACAGGACAGGCTGAGGAACCTGAACACAGGCACTTTGCATCCACCCCCAGCTGAGTGCTGCTCCTTTTCCTCCCTTCCTAGAAAACCCCATGGCACTCTGTGTTCATACTCAGGGATGTGTCTCTACACAAGGGGCCACACACATGTCTCTTACCTGGAATAGGAAGACTCTCTGGTCTCTCCCTCTCTCTGTATCCCTCTCCCCTTCCCTCCCCTTCTCTGCCCTTGAGCCTCTCTTTCAATCTCTGGTTTTTGAGACAATATCTCTCACTATGTAGACCAGGCTGGCCTCCAACCCACAATCCTCCTGCCTCTGCCTCCTGAGTGCTGGATTACAGCCCTGTACCATCCCACTACCCCCGATCTCTCTTCCGGGGGTCCCATATGAGTTTCACTGTCCCTCTAGATTTACCCAGTACCAGTTGTTGTGAACAATGCGCGTGGGGGACCTTGGAAGATTCCATGGCAGGTCAGGGTGACCGAGATGGATGGACAAACATGACAGGCAGACAGAGCTTTTTCATTTGAAAGGGGAGCGGGGGAGGAAAGAGAAAAGAGGTAAAGAGACACAGAGACAGAAAAAGGACAGAAGAGAAGAGGGAGACAAGAAAAGTCCTGTCTGCCCCAGGGGACAGCGGGAAAGAGAGGAGCTGGAAAAAGAGCGGAAGCGGATCTTTCTTTTAAAGGGGTCCTTTGAGCCTGGATGCAGACTAGTCATGGAACCTGAGCTGACCAGGGTTCTGCCTGACAAGGGCAGGCCAGCATAATGCCTACCAGATGATTATTCCCAAATATTAGCAAGCAACCTCCTCCTCGTACCCCACTACAGGAAGGGGAACAGACATTGCGCTTTGGCTTTGTTTGGTTCATTCTGTATTTGTGCTCTGTGAGTCTATCATGGAGGTCCCGAGTTTTGTGTGTGAGTCCGTCTCCGAATACTGGACGGTGAAGTTTGAATTCCTTAAGGTTGTGGCGAGATTTGCTCTTTTCACGCCTTTCTGCGCCTGCCGCGCCCTCTGGTGGGTAGGAGCTGTCCTGCAGCCAGATGGTCCCAGGCGGCTTTCCCCAAAAGGATGCCCTCCCTCTTTGGTCAACAAATAGCCTAAAAGGAATGCTTTCGTTGTCCATTGATGAACTAATGGTCTAGGCACTTTGAAAAATGTTCTTGACTTTACAGCCTCTTAGCACGTTTAAGATCTTCTTAGAAAACACGCCCTGCTCTTAAAGCCTGGTGTCCTTAGGAACAAGCCCACATATGGTTCCCCTAGATACACATGTTCTGTTTAACCAGTGTAGTCTTGCTTGGAACCATGGTTTGGACTAAAATGGCATCCGACCTCTGCTACCTATCTGCCTTGTTCTTGGGTTAGGAATCGCGTATTTTCTGTGTTCTTGACCTTCTGCCATCGTGTTGGTTTCCTGGCAAACGTAACTATTTGTTTTTCTGTTTTGATATGGTACCCAGCTATGGTCTAGCTTACTCGCTGGGTCACAATGATTGTCAGTCATTTGACAGACAGGCCACTCTCAGGAACAGGACTCAGAAGATAGTGCTGTGGCCAAGTTCAGAAAGTCAGTTTAGTCTGGTAGGACTCCACACCGGGACCACAGTCTCATATGACCTGCACTCCCCAACAACCCCTTTCATCTTGTTCACTTTGAACAGCAAGGAAAGCATCCTTAGGAACTGCACCTGAACTTTCCTATGAGGCCCCGTCTGAAGGCTATGTAGCCAAGCTAGTTACACATTTCAAATAGAATTTGTCTATTGTGCAGTTTTAACCTCCACACCTCTTGTGTGTTTCTCACTGAGTCTAGAGCTTGTGTGTGTGTGTGTATGTTTTTCTCACTTAGTCTAGAGCTGTCTGAGATCTGAGATCTCCTGGGATCCACTTGTCTCTGACCCTCAGTGCTGGGTTACAGATGCACACAACTTATATTTTATGGTCAGCTGGAAAGGTAGACTGAAGTCATCATGCCTGCATAGCCAGGACATTACCCACGGTCATCTCCTCAGCTTTTTTGTATCTATGTCTCAAGAACAACTGTTTTATTGGCATACAGCCATACACAGTGGTTTACACATGGTCTCCAGCTGTTTCTGCACTGTAAGGGCAGGTGATGAGCCATGGGCCCATATGCCTATGATTTTAAAAACTTAGCCAACCAGCTTTTTGGGCAGTATTGACTGCTCCCAGTATTGGCCAGCAGGGTCACAAGAGGCAATAGGAAGAGTTTCAAGACTGACCCCTGAAAGTTTTGGCTTGGGAAACAGTCGTAGGCTGCTTGCTGTCCCCTTAGTGGTGAACATGTTATGTATATATATCCAGATTCCAAAGGCAAGCATCAACTGAGAAACATCCTCTATCCTAGTAATCTTAGCAGTTATGCTTTTGCAAGCAAAGTAGACCCATTTATACTAAGTGGGGTGTTCCAGACACCAGCTACTGACATGGCCTGTAAGTCTTACTTATGTTTTATTTTATATGTGCACCAGTATGTCTGTTTACCAGGTGCATGCCTGGTGCCCTCCGTACTGGAGTTACAGGCAGCTCTGAGCCTTCACATGGTTGCTGGGAATTGAACTGGTGTCCTCTGGAACAGTGGCCAAGGCTCTTAATCACTGAGCCATCTCTCCAGTCCCTGGCCTGTATTTGATGAATGGGCTACAAAGACTTTTTCTACATGTTACTAACTTAGGAAGAAGCAGAAGAAACAGTTTTCAAAGATCCAGAGTTTCCTGGGGTGTCAGACAGCTGGAAGAGGGAGCCAAGAGACCTGAAGGCGGCATTGTCAGGGAGTACGGGAGCATCTACATCCCTTGTTTTGCTGGAATTACAGGTATTAGTCACATTTGGCTGCAACCTCCAATTCTGAGGCAAATGGGCTTCATCTAATGTCCTGTTCCATGCAAGCCAGCAACTCCTCACATTAAGAGGGTCACAGATCTAGGTATCTGGATGCACTAGAAAAAAAGGTTCATAGGGAAGTATGCAAGTTATTATTGGAACCAGGGCTTCTGCTTGTATTATCTGAAGGCTTAATGATCAGCTTTAAAACATTGAGTCTCTTTCCCTAGCGCTTACCACCTTTTTTCTCAGCCTAGCTTATGGTTTTCTAAGTAAAAAAATAAGTAATACAATTGATGCATTACTTTACAGAACACTTGATTTATGCTTTCTGGAATTTAAGGGTTTACTGTATAGATACAAAATTTCATATTTTAAATATTTTCATATTTTGTCCTATTTACTATGCTACCTTAAGGAATGTTTAAAACCCATTTTTTCCCCCCTCGAGCTATATAAACAACCTTTTGTTGTTTCTCAAGACAGGGTTTTTCTGCATAGCCCTTGCTGTCCTGGAACTTGCTCTATGGATTAGGCTGGCCACAGATCTGCTTGCCACTGCCTCCCACTAGGATTAAAGGGATGTGCCATCACAGCCTGGGATAAACAATCTTAAAATATAAATAAATAGAATAAAAACTATTTGCAATCATCTGTACTTCTATGCCCGAGTGTGGGTTTGTGCATCTGAGCGCAGGTGACCTCAGAGGCTAGAGGAGGGTATCAGGTAGATCCTATGGAGCTGGTGCTTCAGGCTTCAGGCATTGAGAGCTCTCACAAAAATGAAGTGGGTGGGGCATGCTCTCACCTGCAGAGCCATCGTCACAGCCCCTACCTAAGCATCTTTTCTTGGTGTTTTTGAGACAGGGTGCTACTCTTTAGCACAGGCTGGCCTGGAACTCTGTTTTCACAATCAGTGACTATCACAGAAATATGTTAATAACTTGTAGTAGCAGGCACTAGACTCTAAACAGTAAATGTAGGCCACTTGTTTGACTGACAGCTCCTAAACTTACCTGTTCTTCACAAGCCAAATGAATAAATGTCACCATAAAACACAGAAAGTCCCTGAAAAATGAGATTACATCATCAAGTTTATTTGTTTACTGAGATGGGTTCTCTTTCTGCAGCCCTGGCTGTCCTGGAACTCTCTATGTAGATCAGGCTGGCCTCAAACAAATAGTGATCTGCCAGGCGTGTTTCCCTATGCTTGGCTAAGTCATTTATTGTCTGATGCATGGTCTTCTTAGCTATTCAAGTTGACTTGGAACTTACTCTATAGCCCAGGCTATCCTGGCACCTGTACTCTTCCTGCCTGACTCCTGAGTGCTGGGACTGCCATGTGTGCCATCACACCTGGCTCCATAACTGACTTTACTTACCCTCTCTGACAGCAGTACACCCAGCTGAGTGTTTACTTGAGGCTAGCACCTGGGAGGACCAACTTAGGGAACACCAGTTTGTTAGTCCAAGCATTCTGCATCCCCAAAGTGAAAGAACAAATCCCTACTCCTCCTCCCATGGGATTCAGGGAGCAAGCAGAGCAGCGAAAACAGTAGCAAGGTTGGTTTTGCACACCGGCTTCTGAAGAGGGAAGCTGCCTCCTAACAACATGAACAACCACAGGCTTATTTCCAAACAAAACAGGGTACACGTTAAATAATTCCCAGAAGGAAATCTTCAATGGAATTTAACATTTTAATTACTGTGCTATCAATCGAACACTGGTAACCATACATTAATATGCTTGCAATGATAACTAAGCCTTGAATCATACTGTCAAATACAACTTCAAAACTTGCTGCAACAAAATGCCCAGTTTGGCTCTCTTGAGAAACTATCTTATTTCCTTTGGCCTACAATCTGTATAGTTGAATACAGATACTAAATAATCTTCCCTCTATCCTAGAAGGCTACAGAAAACTGAAACACTTCACTGTTAGGATTTAAGAATACAGCTTTAATTTCTTGGTCACTTTTGATCATATAAATATATAAATCTTAACAAGGTAACACTGTTAACTGTAATAAAGGCCATAAAAATAACAGCTCTGCCATATTGCACAGGTAAATTAATTTAGTTGGCTTCCCCAGCTCTTTTCCCCCCCCCCACCAAACAACTTTCGGATCAGAACTGGAAGACACGGGGTTCTACACTCTCGACATTGAATACTGACGATATCGATTCGTTTGCAGAAAATAAAACTTTTAACAGTTCACATCTCGACATCATATACACCAGTTAAGCAGGATCTCTGAACACTCGGAGCAAGAGTCTTACTGGAGTCCTCCTGCGGTAAAGGCGCAGGATCAGAGCTGCGGTCTGTCATCGCAGCCGGGGAAGTGGTCCTCGGTCCGAAACAGGGCCGGGGGCTCGTAGGCGGAACGCTGGGGCCCGGTGGGCGCGGACTTGAAGAGAGCGGGAACGCTGATGGTGTGCAGCAGCCTCCGGAAGGCCCGCGGGAAGGTCCCCAGCTCGGCCTCGGCCTTGGTGACCTGCTCCTCCATCCTGGCCACGCTGCTGCCGATCATCCTCACGAAAGCCTCGAGCTTGTCGATCCGGCCGTAGATGCGCCTCATCTCGGCGGCTTTGGCGTGGATCCGCGGCACGCCCTCGCTCACCACGTGGGACGAGTCTCCGCGGATCATGTCCAGCATGCCCACGAACTCGTCCACCCTGGCCAGCAGGTCCTCCAGGCTGGCGTCCAGAGCCTCCACCTCGGGCCGCGGCCCCGAGGCGGGCAGCAGGCTGGAGGCGTAGCCCAAGGCAGCGCGGCGCAGCAGCGGCAGGTCGCGGCCCGGCGCGTCCTCGGAGCCATCATCCTCCCACGGCCCTGACGCGCTGCTTTGGCTCTGCGATACGTGGCCGCTGTCCCCGCTCCACGTAGCAGCCAGCGGCTCAGCCTCCTCAGTCGAGGCCTCTCGAGGGAGGGTTCCGCCCGCGGGTCCGTCCTCCATGGCCCGCTCAGCTGGCTTCCGGCGCTACGCGGTCACGTCACGGTCCCGCGTTCCCTGCTTCCGGCGCTGCCTGAATGCGTCATGCTCTTACCAGCCTGCTAATCTCCTGACCAATTGTCTTCCTTCTGTCTTGCTTGCGCCTTCATGATGTGTGCAGGCGCTGTTTCCACATGTTGATAATCCAGAAGGGATGGCGATTAGATAATAGGTATTAGATAGGTACATGACAGATAGATGATAAATAGATCAGGACAGTCGTGGCATGTGCCTTTAATCCCAGCACTGCGGACACAGATCTCTTGAGTTCAAGCCCAGCCTGGCCAGTTTCAGGCCCGCCAGGGCTGCATAATGAGACAGATAAACCAACAAATCAATAGATGGTAGGAAGGTAGATAGATGGTAAACTGATAGATGATAGTGTCAGAGGAATACAATAAAAAAGATCTAAAGATGTCTTGCATATCCTCACAGCCAGATTACCTCTGTTTGTTCACGTGTGGCCAGCGAGGCTAAGTCACTGCAAATGGTATGATATTGCAAAGACCCGCCTGGGGAGTCAGGGGACTCCAGGCGTTTGAGCTCAAGAGTAGTGCAAAACACTTCTCATTTTTATTATTAAAGCAAGCAAGACATGGGGTGATGTTTTAATTAGTTTAGCAACTACAAGTGCAGCAAGGAAATACACCTGGTGTCATTATCCTCTTTGGTCTTGTGAAAAGAGCTAAGAAAACTCCTCCCAGGCCTGTGCCTTTCCCACAAAGATAATGTGGACATGCCAGAGCATTCCCTTCATGTCCTTACTCTCCAGTGTGTTCACTTATTATAGTTTATATAATTCTTTCTAGAAGGCCATCTTGTGGAAAGAACTTTATGCACTCTGCCCCGCCCATAGTTCACAGTAAGTTCACTGCTTTCTTACATAGGCTCCCATATCCATCCATTGTGTAGGACTCACCAGCACACATGCAAGGCTCCTGCCTGCTGCTTTTCCTTGACCAATGGTAGTAAAATAAACTGTAAGCAAAAGGAAGGAAGGCAAACCAGGTAGTGGTGGTGCATGTCTTTAATCCCAGCACTTGGGATTAAACAGGTGGATCTCTGTGAGTTTGGGGCCTGCCTGGTCTACTGAGTGAGTTCTGGGACAGCCTCCAAAGCTACAAAGGAACCCTGTCTCGAAACAAACAAACAAACAAAGCAAGGAAGGTGGAACACAAAATCGTCCTAATGACGTGTTCATCTGAGCCTTTTACAAAAGAAATAATAGCTCCAAAGCATGGATTCCATCAATGTTGCCGGGGGGGGGGGGGACACAAGATAGGAGTAAAATCCTTAAAATTCTTAGAAACATCTCCAAAGCCACATCTCCATGCAGTCCGGTGGGTTTCTAGGAAACTTAAGGTCTTATTCTTCAACACTGTCCTCTGAAGACAAGCCTAAGGTAGAAGTTGAGAATGTGGGCAACAATTGAGAAAGGCGGGCACTCACACACATAGCTCAAAAGACTTGGTGATAGAAGCAGAGCTGGGGGTTTGTTAGGCAATGTTCAACACATACTCTTGCCGGGTAAAGTTTTACATGACCTCTTTCCCCACTGGGAATTAGGAATTAGAGAAAAAGAACTTGGAGCAACAAAATATAGAAAACTGCAAGGTTTTTTAGTTCTTCACTATGTCGGTTCCATCTGTGCCAGCTGACCCAAGCCCGTCCCTGTGAACCTAAACTACAGCTGGGAGGCATTTGCCACGCACACTGCAAATGGTCAGCCTTTCAAATCCAGAGGTTAAGGGGGAAAAAAAGAAAGGAAATTTAGCCACTTCTGGAAATGTTACTTCCTTAGTCCAGGGTCCTCTGAATACTTGTCTTCTAGAAACACCTGGAAAGCATTAATAAGAGGCTCTCTCTGCCATTAGACTTGCTTGTTTCTCTTTCCTGCATTCATGCTCTGCTCTGTTCTTGCTGAGTGGTCAAGGTTTTCTTCAGTTTTCCAACACTCTATGCTTAGGCAGGTATACCTTGGGTGACCGTCCTATTGGAGCTGGCAATATGTTCCCATGGGTGGTTTTGTAGCCTTTCTTATGGTGTCATCATGGTGACTTTGATACAAATGCAGATCTTGACTGTGTTTGGGTCTTCAGACACCTTTCATTAGAGGAAGACACCTTTCATTAGAGGAAGTTGTTTCACAGGAGATATTCTCATCACTGCTGTGGTTGAAGAGTGAAACATGGTTGGGTTTTGTTGTTATCTGTGTGACCTGATGCTTTTCTGGCACCTTGCAGTCTGAGGAGAACTGTGGTCAAAATCTACTGGTGTTGGTATAGTTCTAGGCATGACTGGACTGGACAGTAGCTGGTGAAGACTGTATGGATAAGATTCCTTTGCACAAACTGGAGGATGCAGAAAATGGATGGCTCTGTCTGTACTTTGGAACATCAGCTCCTCTGTGAGACAAAGGTGGAGAGCTGTGTTGTGGCACATTGTCTGATGTGTGTTGTGTTACCTCAGGTTAATTTTCAAAAATCTTTCTAATGCTGTACAGTGATGAAGCTTAAATAGAGAACAAGAGCTGTACATGACTGTCATAAAAACCTCACTATCACAGGGGCTTCGGAGAAGAGCATCAGAGATGATGGACAGAGATGCTGGAGAAAGGGGTAAACATTATCAGGGCATAGGCAGCAGTTCTGACTGACATTCAAGTTCAAAACCAAATACTGAGTGCTCATTCGCCTCAAAAGATTCATCTAGGAAGCTGGGTTTTGTTTCTGCTTTTTAATGATGTCTTTGGTTTTTGCCTTTTGTTTATCTAGTTCAAGAATGACAGGAATGGAAAAATAGTTTAGTGGTTTAAGCAGAGGCTGCTCTGTCTGAGGACCTGAGCTTGGTTCCCAGCACCCATATCAGGCAGCTGACAACTGCCTACAACTCCAGCTCTAGGGGATCAGATGCCCTCTTCTGGCCTCTATGGGCTCCTATACACGAGTGGAATATACTCACTGGCCCATGCACATAACATACGAAACAATAATAACCTTTAAAAAAAGAATAATGAAATTTTTTGTTCCCTGTGGGTGTTAATAAACAAGTTATTAGTGAATCATTTGAGTCCTCAATGTCAAGCAGAATGAACTTTGTGTAGCTTGCACGGTTCCCAGTAAGTACTGCGGGGGACAATGGTTTCTGTAACCATGGCAATGGGGTGGCAGGACAAGCTTCAGGCCTTCCTTCCACTGACCCAAGCCCTAGCCTTTTGACAGTGACAGTGTCTGATGTGGTGCGGGGCACATCCTGAGTAAGGCACCAGTAACTGGCCGGAGGTGTGGAGAGAAGTGAAAACTAGGAATGACGTTATCTCGGGAGCTAGAGGAGGGAGTCACACCTGCACGGGACATCAGGATGCTTTTTGGAGCAAAAGTGATGTCACTGGGCCTTGAATGCTGAGTACAGACCCTGAAAGGGGAAACTGCAAAGGCATCTGAGGTACAGGAAGCAACAGCTCGAGCGAAAACCCCTAGTTCAGGCTGGGAGATGGCTAGGGTTGCAATTTACAGAGGGAGAGGCATTCTGGGAGATGTGATGATGGAGGTCTTCACTGAGGGATTCATCACAGGCCTGCACTTCAGTGGGGTCTGTTCACTCTGGAGTTGCTCACAGTCATAGCCCAACAAGCAGGCTTCAGTTCCTAGAACTCATACAGTTTTTAAGTATAAATATTTTCTTTATTTCCTTCCTTCCTTCCTTCCTTCATTTCTTTTCTCAAGACAGGATCTCTCTGTGTAACCACTGTGGCTGTCCTGGGACTCACTTTGGACACCAGACTGGCCTTGAACTCATGGACCACCTACTTGCCTCTGCCTCCTGAGAGCTGGGATTAAATGCAGACATCACCACTGCCCAGTGATAAATAAATTTTGTAAGAGCAAATACATGCGCACAATAAGCATGGACACACCTTTCAGGTTTATGTGCAAAATGAAATCCCACAATGTGACTGTTCCCCCACACGTTCTCTGCCTTTGTTCCTGGCTTTGTGTTCTTCAGTGGGACAGGCATTGGCATTTTCTGATTATCTAGGGAGTGATGATCACGCCTACAGTTCACAGAGTTTATTCAACTTCAGTTTAGGGGTTAGTGGAAGAATGGAAGACAGGGGACTATCTTAAGGTTTCTGTTGCTGAAACAAAGCATCGTGACCAAAAAGCAAGTTGGGGAGAAAATGGTTTATTTGGCTTACACTGCCATCTCACTGTTCATCATCAAAGGAAGTCAGGACAGGAACTCAAACAGGGCAGGAGCCTGGAGACAGGAGTGGATACAGAGGCCATGGAGGGGTGCTGCTTCCTTTGTTGTTTGCTTGCTTGTTTTTCATGATAGGGTTTCTCTGTAGCTTTGGAACCTGCCCTGGAACTCACTCTTTAGACCAGGCTGGCCTCAAACTCACAGAAATCCACCTGCCTCTACCTCCTGAGTGGTGCTGGGATTAAAAGTGTGCACCACCAACGCCCCGGTTTAGCTTGCTTTCTTATAGAACCCAGGGCCACCTGCCCAGGGATGGCGCCACCCACAGTGAGCTGGGCCCTCCCCCCCCCCACCAATTACTAGTTAAGAAAATGCCTTACAGACAAATCTTCTTATAGAGACATTTTCTCAATTGAGGTTTCCTCCTTTCAGATAATTCTAGTTTGTGTGTCAAGTTGACATAAGACTGACTACCCAGCATATGCACTATACACATCTTTAAAAACTCTACAGGGGCTGTAGAGACAGCTCTGTGGTTAAGGGCACTTGTTGCTCTTGCAGAGGATCTGGATTCAATTCTGCATACCCACATTATATAGCTTATAATTGTCTGTAACTGTGGTTCCAAGGGATCTGCTGTCTTCCAGTGGCCCCAGACATACATATTGCTCACAGATACACTTTTAGGCAAAACAGTTTTAATAAAAACAAATCTTAAAAACATTTTTCTGTGTATGGCCGTCTTGTCTGCATGTTATATGTGTACCATGTCATGCCTAGT